TTTGCTTCCGAAAACTCCTTGGGGAAGGATGGGGCTTCCGCAGCGTCCCTGTTCCAAGTGGAGAGGGTACGTTTTCCCAGTGTTATCCAATCTCACTCAGTAAGGTAGTACTTTGAAAAATGGTGAGTGGAACTACTTGTCCCAAGCCCCTGGCCTACACCAGATGGCGCGCAGGCGGCTTGCACAGGGCACTGGAAGGGGCAGCACCATCGTGCTTTGGTAGGGATCCCAATTCGTCGGTCACCGACGTGACTCGGAGTGACCGACTGAAAGGGAACGTCTCGGTTACGTATGGTAACCCTCATTCCCTGAAGGAGGGAACGGAGATGTCACGTCCCGTCCCGTCGCCACGGTTGCTGTACCACCGCTGAGTGGCCGAGTCGCCGGCTCGGCTCCTCAGCGAAAACCTGGTATGCATTGCACCTGCTGCCTTACTATACTCACGCTGTGATCAGCGGCAGCTGGATGCAATAATTGCATGCCAATGTGCATTGGCTCGTTTAGTTATACTCGAAGTACATTGGTCTATCGACGCGATATCCCAATTCGTCGGTCACCGACATGACGTCTCCGTTCCCTCCTTCAGGGATGTAACTGAGACGATTTCTGTCTATCACTGATTTAGGAAGTTGTATGGGAAATGGCTAAGTAAACTACACTTTTTATTAAAAGCATGCAGTAGGCGGCAGATTTAAAGGTATTAGTCAACCTACATCATCTGATGAAAATCTGATTGGTAAATTTGTGATCGTGAAATCTGTGTAGGCCACGCGAGATTCAAATGCAACATCAGTTCCCTGACGAACGAATACTTGATAGTATAAGATATTTTAAATAATCCAAAATCTAAATTAATATACAATCAAAATTTGTGATCAGTTTTTCATTAGAAATACAGTCTAAATTGAAAGATCATTTGAATTTGGAGTCAGATTAAACAAGGAGCTAGACTAAAATTGAAACTTAATCTTGATAAATTAAGTGAACTTTGCAGAAGCACAAGTAAAAGACCGAACACGCAGAATACCTTCAACTAGGCCACTGGACTTTGCTTTTGGGCCGACGGGTGGATCCTTACAATTAATTTTATGAATGAAGCAAAACACTTCACACTTGTTTATGAATGTTTCACTGACTCACCTGATTCATTTAAAAATGCACCGCTGTTGGTTGCTCAGAGGTTGCACTGTTGTTCTGCTGTGGTCTTTGTTTGGAACCATCACTCGATATTGGTACGCTTTGCCCCTGAAAGCAAACCTTAGGAACTTCCTGTGTTGAGGAAGGATGGATATATGGAAGTAAGCGTCTTTCAGATCTATAGTCATAAACCAGTCGTCGGACCTGATTTGAGACACGACTTGCTTGAGCATAAGCATTTTGCTCAACAATCGAAGATCTAGAATTGGACGCAACCCCCCATTCTTCTTCGGAACGATGAAGTAACAACTGTACAACCCGGACTCTCTGTTGAGAGGAGGGACCACCTCGATGGCCTCCTTCCTCAAGAGAGTGTCTACTTCTTGTTCCATTACCGGAGCCTGCTCGGGGGTCCACCAGATTGGGAAAAACCCCAATGAATAGAGGCGGACGCAACCCGAACTGAATCTTGTAGCCTCTTTCTACAGTGTGCAGGACCCGGTGAGACACATTCGGCAGAAGCTTCCACTTGGAAAATGTCGGGGCCTTAGGGCTGATGCTGCAATGGGAACAGATAGCCCACAGGCATCTATCCCACCTTAGACATCGCCCTAAAAACCTACTCATTCAGCCCGTCAAATATAAATTTTTTAAAGGGCAGATGAGCTGGAATGAAAAATGGTTAAACCCATGCTCTCATAGGCTTTTAGGACAATCAAAAGGGATCACAGATGACAAATAAGAAACACTGTGGCAGGTGTCGATTTAAATGTATGCACATTTCGCTTCCACACTGCCAGATAATGTACTAAGGGAACCAGTCTCTCGAGGCTGGCCTCTAGTGTGCTTTGAACTGCTAGCTCGATGCCCCTGAAGTGGAGGACTGGCAGGGGACGGCCGATCTAGCTGTTCTAGAGACCTCCTTGGAGGTAGCGAGCCTCTCAGGACCACTGCGTTTCCGGGCGGAAGCTGAGAGATATACTTGCTGGAGACCGCTGTGCCCTGAAGCACCGGGGGTGGCAGGGTTAACTGAACGATCTCCTGAGGGCATTGACGAGAGACGGGCACCGTGTGATGAGGTGTGAACCGCTCTTCCCCAGAGGGGCCTGCCCTCAGAAGTCCTGAACCATGAGCGTCAGGACCTCTTGGCCGAAGCCTTCTTATTGAAAATGATGGTCCTCAGACCCGTCATCTCCTTAGAATAACTTCAACCTGGAGTGCCGCCCCCCCTCCTGCCTTTCTCTCTGAGGGGGAGTGCGAGTAGCAACACTCCGTTTTTGGACTTCTCGATGTGAGGAGCTCGTACACGGCTGGGGCTGATCCCGCCTATCAACCCCATGAGAACGGCAAGGGAGAAAAAAATTAAATGCGCCCACTTGTTTCTGGCCTTCTGGAATCTGTTGACGATGGTTAAGGACTAGTGGGGCGTCAAGGAGAAAGACCCTGTCTTTATCGTTAATATTAGACAGGGTCAGCCACAGATGTCTCTCCGTGGCCACTAGGGCTGCGATAGACCACCCAATTGCTCTGGCGGTCTCCTTTGTGGCCCGGAGCGACAAATCTGTGGCTCTACACAATTCAGTGATGTCATCGTTTTTAATCTCTTCTCCCACATCCATCTCTTTTAGCAGGTCAGCCTGGTATGCTTGCAACACAGCCATAGTGTGCAAGCAAGCTCCAGCCTGACCCGCTGCCGTGTACGCTTTACCAACCAAAGCCGAAGAAGCCCGAAGTGGCTTGGTGGGTAACACCGTCTTAAGGGAAGATGCACCGCCAGGCTAAAGATAGCCCACAAGCATATCCTCAATCCGGGGGAATCCTCCCATAACCACGCTCATTCAGCCCTACTACATTTGAATAGTGTGAAACATTTGGACTGAAGAGGCCGGCCGAGTATGGTTTATCCAACAATCTAGATACCTCAGTATGCAGATCTGTGACTTTGATCGCAGGAAGCATTCGTCAAGCTTGTTTTTAGGATGCTCCTGCTGCTCTTTTTCTGATGGCCAATCGATATTTAACTTGGCCACGCTCTAGTCACTACCGCCAACAGCCCCTCAAACAAGACAGACTGTGGTGGCAAACCACAGACTTGTCTCGTTCGGCACTCGCGTCATCCCCCTCCTCAGAGGAAGACAACATAAGGGCCGAGCCCTCTCCCGGGGCGGAAGAAACCGTTTTTGCACAAATAATTTATTTTTTTTCTTCTTCAACATTTTTCATGTATCTGTGTGTGTTTTGTGGGGAATGTGGCTGTATCTGCTTGATTACCATCTGTATGACCGCACATCAGCATGTGCTACTGTGTGTATGACAGCTATCAGTGTGAATACGGTCTATATGAATAGAGCATGGTCCACTCCCAAACAAGCAATGCACAAACTGTGTGTATCCCCACCCGTGATGAAACGAGGGCAGGGAGGAACACACACCCTGAAACACTGCTTGTCAGACTCAGAACTCTTGTCAGACTTTGCCATTATAAGTTTGCAACAGGATGTACAATAAATATGACGTGACACACACAGAGCACTTACTGAACAACAGAAGCTGCCGCTGTCTCCACCGCACATGCTTTTATACTTCGTAGTCGCTACGTCATCTCTGCCAGTGACGTCACCCGGGATTACCTTGGACGGATTACACCCGTTTCAGAGCGTGGGAACACAGGGGAATTCCCAAAGCGTTTCTCGATGCAGCGTAAGTTCCCGAAGGGGAACTGTACATCCTTCCTTCAGAACTCTTTTTTTTTTGGAAGTACTCACTGTCCAATATGGTCCACCTTTTAACCCTAGTCTGAGATGAGTTTCTCAAAAGCATCATTAGACAAATATAGTCGCAAAATCCGTTGAACTCTTTTGGTAGTGACGTAACTTATGTCATAGTTAAACATTGAACATAGTTGAACCCCTGAACGTTGTCTTTGAGGTTTTTACTTAAGTATTATTAACTTTACAAACTACTTCAAGATTAACCTTGACATTGTGCTAAATGCATGATTCTGAAATGCTAAACTATCACCCATCCATTCAATGTATACCTTCATAGGTAGATTTATATACATCGTTGTGTCACACGCAGAAGAGGAAGTGCTCCATTTTATGTAATGCAAATATGCATGCAAAGATTTGTCCTTTCAAAAGGCTGTTTAAGTTGTCCACTGAAACCCTCTTACATTAAAGTGGAACTTTTGCATTTCAATGTGTGGAAAGGAGTTTTGAAGGTTGCTATCTTCTTTGCCTGTGGTTCTCTAAAACATTTGAAAAATAATAAACATTTTAAGTAGTTAAGAACGTTTTGTGTATATATTCCTGAATTATACTATTTGTACATCTGATGTAAGATCAAATAATTTGTAATAACAATGTATATTAAGAATATAAGATTAGATTTAATGCATTGGTTTAGGGCAATTATTTAGTGGCTGCAAAGAGCACCTTTTTCATTTCATGGCCATTCAGAAATAACTTTGTGTTATATATTTATATAGAAACATATTTGTATTATGATTAAATAAAAATTTTTGAAAGCAACATATAAAATATAATTCATTATATTGTAGTGAGTATTTTACCAGTGCCCAGTTCTTTTGAGGATGACTCTTAGAAACAATGAGTTGGATTTCCCTGTAACAGGTCAGGATAGAAAATTGCGCACAGTATATAATATTACACAATATAATGTATTATATATTGTATATTTTATTTATTACGTAACATATATTAAGAAACCATTAAGAAACCAACACATTATTTTGTTGATATTTTTACTGGAAACCCAGAAGAAATAGGGTTTCTTTTGTAATGAAAGGTTTATTTTTATTTTTATTTTTTTGTAATTGCTTGTCTCAAATAAAAAAAAAATTCCATTGCATGGATAGACTGTATCAGTTCTAAGTAAAGCCCTGAACATTCTTCTATTGTGTGTCAAATAGAATTTTATCAACCGGTATCCACACTGGGTGAAATTCATGATGGTCTGTCTCAGAAGAGTGAGAGTGAGCAGCCACAGTTTCTTTCTGGAGATGAAGCTGATGCCGACCTCAGTCTGGATCAAGACCAGGAACAGGATCAAGAGCATAGCAACAGTGAAGAGACTGTTATGACACCTACAAGAAAAAAGGACATTAAGGTAATAAGATACTATTTAATGAGAAATCACATATTCAGAAGAAATGTAACAAATTCTACTGCATCTCCTATTTTAATAGGCAGCCCTAGTGTAAATAGTTAAGATCGCTAATTTGTGTACTGACATGGCTGACAAGTGATCCACAATCAAAGATTTAGATCGTCTAACTGTAATACTGTACTGTACTGTAAAATTTCCAATCAAACTGAAAGCATAAATCTTGGCTATGCACTGCCAGTTTCATATACTTACAAACCCACCAAAATAAAAGCTTGCTGATTTAAAAAAAATAATAAAAATAAAAAAGTAAATATTAGCATTGAATTTTTAATTGTACTATAAATAATTATTCAATAAAAATGTATTTTTATTTAATACTCACTTTTTACTTCAAAATATAATAGAATATAATATCACACTTCACACTCTATTTATTATTCTGTTTATTTTATTTAAAAATGCAAAATAAATACTATAAATACTAATACTATTATCACTATAATTATGTTCAGCTATATAGTATTATTATTATTGTTGTTGTTGTGGTTTTGGATTCCAAGTACAAGGCTCCAGATGTACCATGGTGTGAACATGTCTATTTTTGAGGAATTGTACTTTTCTGAACAAACATTTTCTTTGTAAAACACTGCCAAATGTTATTAAAGGGGTACTTCACCCAAAAATGAAAGTTAATTTTCATGTTTTGGTGAACTATCCCTTTAAGTAGGGATGTGCGAGACTAGTCAACTAGCCCAGGGTTCCCTTTCGTGATGGTCTCTCGACGTTGTGTATAACTTGCTGACGATAAGGGAAGCACCTTTCTTAGACCCATGCTTGAATTATCCTTGCCTGCAACCAACTGTGACATACATCTGCTGTTTTCTCTCTCTAATGCTGTCTCTTTTGAATTACTTTTTTAGAACACATTAACTCTTTCCCCGCCAAACACTGAATTTTACATTATTCATGAGACAACGATTCCCTGCCAAACACGGAAAAGTTCTCAATGTTATACACTCAGGGGCGCTATTACGCATCTCCTGAATGAGTCTAGAATCACTCGATCAAAAACACAGATGAAGAAGATGCAGAAACGAGCGATCTCATATGTAAGCATATGCCTATGAAAAGTAATACAATTATCAACACTAAACCGCATATAAATGAAAACTGCCTAATGTTACAGCACTCTGTGGAGATCCAGGAAGTGGAAAAGGACTGTGCAAGTTTTGGGGATGTTGATGAAAGCGATCTACTGCATATTTGCTTTGATCATTGTACTGAATATGATTCAGATGTAGTATTTGATAAAAATTAGATTTTCCCAGCTTTTTGCTCAAAATGTAGCTTTTTTTATGAAACCTACCTACATTCAAGTGTTTGAATGCTTGAAGCTAGAATAAAAACAGATGTTTTTGTTTAACAGTAGAGGGTCTGTTCTTTATTTTGATGTATTGCATGTTCATATACAGTATTCATACAACAAACTATTCTGGGGGCTATGAAAATTTTGTGAAAATCATAAAAAATGCTGGCGGTGGCTGGCAACATTTTTAAAACACGCTGGCGGGGAAAGAGTTAAACAATGCTATAATTCATTTCTTCCATTAAACATTTCCCAGCTAAAGGAGGAAGCATATCTGGGCCTTAATACGCAGGAGGTATTTTAAAGCATCAGTGTCTATGGTTTTATATACATTATACATTTCCCTTTTAATTCAAATCAGCATTTTGCTTGAGATCATAGTGAACAGGTGATTTCAGGAGGCCACGCGTTATTAAAGGAATAGTTAACCCAAAAATTAAAGTTCATTTAAATTGTTTGGTGAACTATCCCTTTAGGTAGGGATGTGCGAGATTAGTAGACTAGCCCAGGGTTCCCTTTCGAGATGGTCTCTCGATGTTGAGTACAGCTAGCTGACGCTATGGGAAATACCTTTCTTCTCGAAATAACACCATTGCATTGCAGTGGCCAGTGGTGCTCAAGTGCACAAAAAGGGGGTGGAAAATCTCCCTATATAAGCGGCGCTGAGTGATATTTCCTCAAGAATCATTCTCCTTCATCTCACCCTTTGGCATTACAGTACAACTCATTGACAGTTGCTTACACTACCTGCTGTTTATGCCGGCACTTTTTGCCCTTCTAAGAAAACAGACCTACCCTGCTTCAATGTCGTGGTGATGTCTAAGGTTCAAGCTCAAATTCCCAAATGTTTGTTTGAGTAGAGTACATGTTGTGAATTATTGGGATAACTGGCTGCTTATGGCCCAATCAGAGGATGTGCTATGCAGCCACAGAGATCTGCTTATCAACCAGCTGTGGTGCTTAAGGGCTCACAGTCAACTTAAAAGCCATCTCCAAAGAAATGTGTGTTCTCTTTCTGAATGTGAGTCTCAAATCTGTCATCATGCGAGCCCATCTTATCCATCTGTACACAACCTATCATGAACTCGCTCGCGATGTTCAAAGAAGGGAAGTCGCTCCCACTATAGAGCTTTCAGAGAACACTCAGTTTCTGCTGAACTGCTGGAGATGCTGTCAGGTTCCCCATTGCCCATTCTCCTGAAAAGGGGTTTCCTCTCTCAAGCAAAGGACTAATTTTGTCATGGCCAACCCAAACGTATGGAATCTGCAAGTCTGGCCGCTCAACAGAGCCTGCCAGCATCAGTTTCACTTCCATTGCAAGTGCTGAGAATGATTTCTGAAGCGTGTCTACTAGACGTAAAACTCCCAAATGGAAAGTCTTTGTGAATTGGTGCAGCTCTAGGGATGAGGATTTTGTAAGCTGCCCGATCCCAGTAGTTTTGTCCTTCTTACAGGAACGTTTGGGTGACAGCTATACCCCCTCTACGCTCAAAGTGTACATGGTTGCTGTATCAGCTTTTTATAATAAAGTGGATAACCAATCGGTTGGGAGAAATTATCTGTTTTTAAAAAGTTTTTATGTGGCGCGAGACAACTCTCTTTCAAAACAGAGCTCTTACTCACACTTGCTACCATTAAGCGAGTCAAGCAATATGCATGCTATTTCAGTTAGCGAGACTTGCATGGTTTTTGGCATGTCTGTAAAGCTGTCCTTAAAAGGTTAGTTCACCCAAAAATGAAAATTAGCCCATAAATTACTCACCCTCAAATCATCCTAGGTGTATATGTCTTTCTTCTTTCAGATGAATCCAGTCAGAGTTATATTAAAAATAGTCTTTGATCTTTCAAGCTGTTTAATGCCACTCAGCGGGTGTTGCATGCATCAGTCCAAAAGAAGTTAAATAGAAAGCGCCAATCTATTTTTAAAAAAGTGTCTCACATGGCTCGGGGGGGTGAAGAAAGGCCTCCTGTAGCAAATCGATGCATATTTGTCAGAAAAATATCCATATTCAAAACCGTAATAATCACTTTAGTGTAGCTTGTGCCAACAGTTGTACACAGAAGCAGCTCCAGGCTGATGACGTATGAGTTCAGTGTTGCGCATGCGCTGGTGAGTCTCGTGAAAACCAATGTTGTTAACAGGAGCAAAGGAAGCAAAGTTTCCTAATTTTAACCAAGGAAAACAAATCTTATTTACAAATCCTCGTTTTGTACTTCTAAGTGACCATTGTTTTGTTTTGATCTCTCCCCTGCGCTTCCGCGTTCGTCACTTCTGAGCGGTGCATGCGCAAAGCTGACCTCATACGTCATCCGCCCGGAGCTGCTTCCATGTACAACTGTTGGCACAAGCGACATTAAAGTGATTATTACGTTTTGAATATGGATATTTTTCTAACAAAAACGCATCGATTCGCTTTTTATTTAACTTATTTTGGACTGCTTCATGCAACACCCGCTTTAAAGTGGCATTAAACAGCTTGAAAGATCAAAGAATTTTTTTTATATAACTCCGACTGGATTCATCTGAAAGAAGAAAGTCATATAAACCTAGGATGACTTGAGGGTGAGTAATATATGGGCTAATTTTAATTTTTGGGTGAACTAACCCTTTAAACCAAGAGCAGACCATAGTATGTGCCTAAAGTGTTCTTAAAACAGTTCAGAGCCATTGATATAACTCTCTCAGCTTTCACCCTGAGTGAGTCGGCAGCTGGGGAGGATACACCCACCCTGCCACACCTGCAGCCACTCTGCCTTGTGTGCTTTGTGCATTTACCAGACAGTTAGGTTCTCTGAACAGCTGTTTGTTTGTTTTGGTTGCTGTTATTCAGTGGAAAGATTCTAAAGTATATAGCCACTCAGTGCCACTTATATTGGGTTCACCTCTTGAGCTTCTGAAAATTGTCACCAACTTGGCATGCAGTATAGTCGAACCATGTACACAATTGTGCTTTGACACAATTGTCATATTAACTGACTTATAATGTTTGCAAGGACTCACAACTTCCAGAGTGTCCAAACTCGCATAGTGTATGCCTGGCTTAAGGGAGGCATACAACATGTGCAATGCTGAGGGCTTCCAGTGCATGTTTGAAAAACCCTAGATTAGTCGACTAAACCAGGGGTTCTCAAACTTTTTGGGGCCCGAGACCCCTGGGGAAAAAATTCCATTAACCCCTATATAATTATAATGGTGATTAAGCATGTGCTTTTCTACAATGTGCACATATATTTTAGCTTAAAAACTGTAAAATTCACTAAAAGGCAACACTATTGGTGGCAGTCGTGGCCTAATGTTTAGAGAGTCGGTCTTGTAACCCAAAGGTCACAGGTTCGAGTCTCGGGACCGGCAGGGATTGTTGGTGGGGGGAGTGAATGTACAGCGTTCTATTCCACCTTCAATACCACAACTGAGGTGGGAGCCTTGAGCAAGGCACCGAACCCCCAACTGCTCCCTGGGCGCCGCAGCAAAAATGGCTGCCCACTGCTCCGGGTGTGTAAAAGTGCATGTCAGTTAAAACAAGTGGACACGAGCACTTGTCTACTTGTTTTTAACTCACATGCACGCACTCTGCACTTTTTGCATGATGCAATTTATTAAATAAAAAAAATGTTTTGCTAGACTTTTTCAGTCTGTATTGGATTCAGTGTGTGGCTACCTTCTTGTTCGTATTCTAGTATTCCTTTGGCTCTATGCACCTGCAGTAAAAGGATACATTTTTTCCTATTTGGAGCACTACAATTTTTCTTTAGTTAACAGTTTAATTCTCACACTTAGTGTTTAACTGCTATTTCTGTACAGGTTATGTACCAATGAGAAAGCATTATCTTAAAATGTAGATCAGTATGCATGTGCAAGGAAATCCATCCAAATGTAATATACCTTTTTATCTCTGTTTCTCAAATGCCAATGATTACACCCATGCCAAGTTGCTGACCCCTGCTCTAGTTTTGGGGCATTTTATTCTTCTCCAACTAGTCCAACATCTCCAGATAAAGTTTGTGCTGTTACTTCCCTGGACTAAAAGTTGTTGTGTATAGTGTCTGCATACAGTTGATGTCCCATATCTACATCTAACTGAAATCTTCCCAAAAAAAAAACTTTTTTCCTATCTGATCCTGTTTAATCCTGATCTGTTCTTGCTCTTGTAGAAGGCCTTGCTCTTGTGTTTCTTACTCTCCTGACCTTGTCTGTAACTAACATCAACCTTGATCCTGTTTATTCCTCCATCTCTGCTGCTTTCATCTACCTGTCATCTACACTTGAAGAAGGAGTCAACCCCTCTACACAAGCAGGAGGTATCTCTTCCTTAAAGTTCTTCTGTTGAACATGTTTTTGTCTAGAGCTGGTTACCCTAGTGAAAAATAAATATACTAAAATGTGTTTGAAATACATTTATTTTATGCTAAGTATACTACAAATACGTACAGTATGTACATTACATTACGCATTTATGTACTTAATAAAAATACCCTGCAATTGTATTTTTGGTATACTAAACTGGTATACTTAAAGACTGCTAAATTGGAACAACTAATTTTGTACTTTAATTGTAGGGAAATAATGCTGAAGTCCAACTAAATATATACTTAAGTATTTTTGATTGTGCTAAAGTGGAACTATTACAAGCATACTTTAGGTACACTTTAAATATCTTGCATTTAACAACCGATATTATTCAAAGATCATACAATCCTCATCAATAGTGACATTAAAACACATTTTAGGCTTAATATTAAGAAACGTGCATTGTGCACAAGTAGTACTCCAAATGAAGTTTAGCTATAATTTTTATATGTTAATAAAATTGAACTATACCAAGTATGACATAAATGTATTTTAACTATATTACTTTTTTACTAGGGTAGTATGACAGTAATCTGCAACAGAAATGAATAAACCAGAAAAGGTGTGCTGTATAATTTATAGTGATACAGTGGAAGACACATTTGCTTGGCTACAGATAGGGCTGTGTCTCAAACAAGTCAAAACAAGAATCAAGCTATTCTCACTCTCAAGGCATCCAATACTACCACTATATAGACCATAATACACTGTCTGGCCAAAAAAAAGTCACTGTCTGTATTTAAATAAACAAATACAAAAGATTTTAAGATTGTATCATTATTGCAGTGATTAATATGTTTCTGGCATGTTGTATGTTTGGCAACAATTCTTTTAACCCTAACTGATGCAGTGAATGGCTTTTTATTTCTCAAACAACCATGTTGGAAGACGTACCCATGTCCAGTGTTGGGAGTAATGCGTTACAAAAGTAATGCATTACAGTAACTGATTACATTTTGCTGTAACCCAGTAGTGTAAGGCATTACTAATCAATTTTCAGTAATATTTTACTAGGTACATGTTCAGTAATGCACGCATGCGTTACAACACACTTTTAGCCCAAAATGTAATTGTTCAAAGAAAAAAAAAACAGCAAGACCGCGAGGCATTAGCGAATCAAAAATGCCGCAAGTAAGTTCTATTTTCTGTTCGTGGTCAGTCAATAGCCGCGTGTGGTGTCCAAGTTTGTAAATAAAGACTAAACAACAGCTTCTGATATATTTGTTTCATTAATCTCCCTCTCGCTGGTGGATCTTTGTATTTTGTGGCGTTGTATAGTGCCGCGAGGCTACTGGCCCGACTGTGGAAACGCGGCATGATTTCGGCCTCTGTGCTCAAGGTCCGAGGCTATTAGCCCCGCCCGGCTCGCTGTAAGCCCTGGCTCGCACTGGCCAGTGGAAAAGCGGCTAATGGGTGAAGATGGCAGAAGACTGTAGCCTACATGCGTGAGATGGACCTATGCGCATCTTGTCATGGCATTAGAGTTAGTTTACATATAGTCCTGTTGTGTCTAATATGAATAGGCCCAAGCTATTCACAGATATTGTCAGATAATCACTTTACCTCTACCATACTTGTAACAGACTTGGATCGTTTGTGATTCTGGCTGTCATCCTTTCTTGTATTTTCTTGAGTCTTCACTTTGCCAATTATAAGCTATATTGTTAGTAGCCTGGATAGCCCACAGTCATTATGCTACACCATACCTCTACTGGATGTAAAATGCTCTGCAGTACGAATTTTCCCTCAATAAATTCCTAATTTGCTGCTTATTAATAGTAAGTAAGGTAGTTGTTAAATTTAGGTATTGGGTAGGATTAGGGATGTAGAATAAGGTCATGTAGAGTAAGGCATTAATATGTGCTTAATTACTGACTAATTAATGGCTAATATTCTAGTAATATGCATGCCAATAAGTCAAGTCAAGTCACCTTTATTTATGTAACGCTTTTAACAATACAGATTGTGTCAAAGCAACTGTACAGTTTTTTTAGGAAAATAGTGTCAATAATGCAAAGTGACAATAGTAAACACTCATTTTTCAGTTAAAGGCAGTTCATCATTGAATGCAGTGATGCCATCATCCAGCTCAGTTCAGTTTAAATCGTATCTGTGCAATCAAGTCAACTAGTTAAGAGACCCTAAAATAAAGTGTTACTATAAGTTCTACTTCTGTAGTTATTTTGGTGAATGTAACTCAAAAGTAATACAGGAGTCATGTAACGCATTACAATTCTGAGACAGTAATATTGTAAGGTAAGGAATTACTTTTCAATAACAGTAACAAGTAATCTATAATGTATTACAGTTTGGAAGTAACTTGCACAACACTGCCCATGTCTACGGTGGCCGAGAAAGCTCAACACGCTGCAAATGAAAAAAAAACACACGCAAATTAAGAAAGCATCTTCATCAATTTGACAACACGTGCTGCAAATACTCACAACACAACCAAAAACAGAAATGTGCTGCAAATACTCACAACACAAACAAATGCTCTTCAAATACAGAAACATGCTGCAAATACTCACAAAACAAACAAATACAGAAATGCACTGCAAATGCTCACAACACAAACAAATACAGAAATGTGCTGCAAATATGCACAGACCACATTGGAAATGTTTAAGGGAACCGCAAAGTGATGAATGTGGCTGGAACATGCTTATCAATGTTTTGCTTTGAAAGGTGATATTTTTGTTTATGCTTTTTTATATATATATATTATTAACCTAAATAAGCTGACAAAATACACATTTACTGTAACTGTGTTACAGTGTAACTGTGGCTAACTTTTACAAATTCCTTTTACTACAAATACATTTTCATATTTATGTACTTAATAAAATGCCCTGCAATTGTACTTTTAGTATACTAAATACTTGGTATACTTAAAGTCTGCTAAATTGGAACAACTAATTTTGTACTTAATGCACTTTAATTGTGCGGAAGTAGTGCTGAAGTACAATGAAAGATATACTTAGTGTATTTGATTGTGCTAAAGTGAAACTATTGCAAGTACACTACGGGTACACTTTAAATATTTAGCATTTAAAGACCGATATTATTCAAAGATCATACAATTCTCATCAAATGTGACATTAAAACATTTTAGACTTAATATTAAGAAATGTGCATTGTGCACAAGTAGTACGCCAAATAAAGTTTAATTATAATTTTTATATCAGTAAGTCTTGAGTTATCTGTCAGTAAATATGTTAATAGATTTTAACTATACTTAGTATGAAATAAATGTATTTTAAATATATTACATTTTTACTAGGGTATGTGTATTGTATTTATACAATTTATTTTCTTTATTTCCATCTATTTTAGAATACTTGATTATCTAATCAAAATAACAAAATATTGCAGTCATACAAATGTTGCATTCAATTGAAGTTTATTTAATTACCAATCAGGCAAACGTTAACTTCAAGAATGAACAAAAAGTGGCCTAGATTATTTTGAAGTTCTAGATGAGTTTGATTTGTTTGTGTCGGCTGCATGAACATAACAATTTGCTTTCTCACATCACTATGCTTCAACTTTGCTAAATAACGAATGTGTAAAAGTGTCCAACTGGAAATAAGCTAATGCAAATAGATGGTAATAGTTGGGTCGTAAAAAAAACATTTGCATGTAGTTTTGTCACATTTGTTTTAACTGCTTCAGGTACTACTAATTTTAGCATCATCCGAGGCTTGACGGCAAACATACTGCTGCTCTCCACTAATGCAGCATCTAGTTAACAAATTAATGAATTTAAAATTATGTGGAGACATGTACTGTAGTGTACTGTATACACATAATTTTGTTGTCTGTTTTAAATCCTCATCTAAAGTGTGCCATTCTGTGCAGCTCACGTCTCACATATAAAAAAAAAACAGCATGAGGTGTCAGTGATTTTGCCACTAGAGGCTGCTCTCATACTGTATAATGACAGCGGACCCTTCTCAGTTGCTCCAGCAATGGACACAACTTGGAAAAATCCGGAATAGATTTTTGCTGATAATAATAATAATAATAATAATTCCTTACATTTATATAGCGCTTTTCTGGGCACTCAAAGCGCTTTACATAGAAAGGAGGAATCTTCTCAACCACCGCTGTGCAGCATCCACCTGGATGATGCGACGGCAGCCATAGTGCGCCAGAACACCCACCACACACTAGCTTATTGGTGGAGAGGAGACAGAGTGATGAAGCCAATCAGCAGATATGGGGATGGTTAAGAGGCCATGATGGTCAGAGGCCAATGGGCGAATTTGGGGATTTTTAATGACTACAGAGAGTTAGGACCTCGGTTTAATGTCTCATCTGAAAGACGGTGCTTTTTGTCAGTATAGTGTCCCCGTCACTACACTGGGGCGTTAGGACCCATACAGACCACAGGGGGAGCACCCCCTGCTGGCCTCCCTAACACCTCTTCCAGCAGCAACCTAGTTTTCGCAGGAGGTCTCCCATCCATGTACTGACCAGGCTCAACCCAGCTTAGCTTCAGTGGGCAACCATTCTTGGGCTGCAGGGTTGTGTTGTGAGCATTTGCAGTGCATTTCTTTATTTGTTTGTTTTGTGAGTATTTGCAGCATGTTTCTGTATTTGGTTGTGTTGTGAGTATTTGCAGCACATGTTGTCAAATTGATGAAGATATTTTCTTAATTTGCATGTGTTTTTTTTTTTAATTTGCAGCGTGTTGAGCTTTCTCGGCCACCGTAGACATGGGCAGTGTTGTGCAAGTTACTTCCAAACTGTAATACATTATAGATTACTTGTTACTGTTATTTAAAAGTAATTCCTTACCTTACAATATTACTGTCTCAGAATTGTAATGCATTACATGACTCCTGTATTACTTTTGAGTTACTTTCACCAAAATAACTACAGAAGTAGAACTTAAGGTAACACTTTATTTTAGGGTCTCTTAACTTAGGGTCATTTCCATACCCATTTTGTGCGTACATAATTTTCCACGCACATATCGGGATTTATAAAAAATAAACTAGGCGTAAATATGTGCGCACCGTACAGACACTCTAGACCAGGGGTGTCCAAACTCGGTCCTGGAGGGCCGGTGTCCTGCAGAGTTTAGCTCCAACCCCAATTAGACACACCTGAACCAGCTAATCAAGCTCTTACTAGGCATACTAGAACCTTCCCAGCAGGTGTGTTAAGGCAAGTTGTAGCTAAACTCTGCAGGACACCGGCCCTCCAGGACTGAGTTTGGGCACCTCTGCTCTAGACCGTGCGTACGCACTCTTTTACTGGAGGGAGCGAAATAAGGAAGTAAACAAAATGATTTTAAAGTCTTTTACATTTGACATACACGTTTAGATTAAATATGGCATTCTGAATAATGAAGTTAAGCACTGACATTTCATGAAATTATTATCCAGAAATTACAAAATTTTTATATGAATTTAAACAGAAATATTTGCAATGGATGCTGCTTTCGAACAATTTTCCTGTGGTATGTGATTTAATGTTTTAATCACAGCGAGGATTGCTTGACGTATGACAATTCCGCTTTAAATTATGTTCTAAATAGCAAAACTGTTGCGTGAATAATAATGATCATTTTTGTAAACTTGACTTTGTTTGATGGCTTTGGAACATAGGCGGTAACGACAGACATAAGGATGCACTCGTTGATCAAACAGTCCATTGGTCTGATGACAGTAGAACCTCTGTTCACAGGTGTCGCGCACAGACAGTAGCCTAATGATAACTCCTTTCGTGCTCTTCCCAATATTGTGACAAACACCATATTTAAAACATAGAATTTGAAGGAAACTGTAAGATATGCACGTTTTATTTTCCAAATGTTTTGTTATTGACACGGTGAGTCAGACAGCTAATTACACTGCAAAAAAATAAGGCCTATCTCTTTCCATAAAAATATAGGCTATAAACATTCTAAAATATATGTTTGCCTTTTAGGCAAATTGCATAAATTAGAATAGTGATGTCTCAAAACGCATTTATAGTCCGTATCTCATATTTTCCTAACGTATTCCTACCCTTAACTGCGTTAAACATGTTGTAACATGGATGGAATATGCATGGAAATTATATGCAGATGACGTTATGCATATTAAAACTAGGTGTTGTAAGCTCAATAAATGGCTATTTCGGGGAGGAGACGGTGTGAAGATTCATGTACGCACAATCTTCCCTTGACTGGGTATTACAAAGAGAATTTTGTGCAGGTTCTGGCATACGCATGGCTTTATAAATCTGAAAACTTTTGTACGTATGTGAAATCTAGCTTTTGTGCGTATGCACACATTTAGGATGAAATCTACGTAAAGTTTTATACATGAGGCCCCAGAGCTTATTTTGACAAGGTAAAAAGAGTGTTGTTTGTCGGCGCTGATAGCGTAGTGGGCAGCACGTCAACATGTAGCGCCGTTGCACTTCAGGTCCCGTGTTCGAGTCCAGGCTTGGGAACCTTTCCTGATCCTGTCCCTGCTCTCTCTCTCTCTCTCCAACTTCATTTCCTGTCTAACTACTGTCCTATCAAATAAAAGGCGAAAACGCCGAAAATCTAAAACAAAAAGTGTTCTTTTACACCACCATTGAGAAATTTTAACCAAAATATGTTATAGACTTTTCATTAAGACCCTAAAGAATCATATCAACTTGTGGAAAATGGACATCCGATGACCCCTTTAAGACAGGTCATTGGTAAATGAGACGTTGAATCAGGAGAAGAAGAGAGACCAGCAAGCTTGTGGTATTGCTGTCTTAAGGTATTTCAAGTTGTGATGGGCGATTAAGACAGTGAGGGTGTTCTCTCTTTCAGGGCTGACTTAATGGCAAGGAGTTCCCAGTTACTCACATCATAATTCGACACACTATTTCCCCGTTTAATACTGTAACGCTGCTTTGACACAATCTGCATTGTAAAAAGCACTATATAAATAATAATGGTGGTGGTGGTGTGGTGATCATAATTCTGTTTGGCAGGATTCAATTTGTGGGATTAGAATGCACACAAGTACATCTTAGCTGGGTTACCATGATGTTGTAAGACGACTGCTTTTATGTCAACGTTGAAGCCATCCACTTCAACAATGAAGGGTAGAGACAGCTCAGGATAGTGAAGTCGATGCAGGGCTAATGGCATATTCTAGGAAAGTAGTGGTTGTAATGTGAAACTCACACTTCTTGGCTTTAACAGTTGGTTTGATTTAGAGGTGATTGAGAACTAATCTGACATAATTGATGTGATCTTCCAGAACAGACAAAATAGTCAAAAATAGTCCTTAGTCAAAAGAGCTCATCCACATGTCTTGATTTCTTTTTATAAAAGTTATAACACATCTCTCCCAAAAAAAACTAATAATTTTAGCTGTCACTCACATTCATACCACAATCAATGCAGAACAACTTAATCACTATGATGTTTAAATAGATAATCAAGCAAATTACATAATAATACATTTAAAAAGAGGATCAGTATGTTGGCTTTGTAACATTCTATGATATAGAATGTTAGTTATATCACCCACTCTTATACTTTTTTGTGTCAGTTAATGTCAAATTTTCCAAAGAAGAACCCATACATTCTGCAGTAAAGTACATTACTAACAAAATATCAAATAGTTATATGATATACCAAGCTTCAATGAACATGACACCAAATCAGTTTTTGGATACATACCATGGTTGTATGCCTGTAAGTACCTTGGAATATCATGTAAAAACCATGGTACGTGGATATGGTTGGCATGGTATTTCATTCTGATGAAATAATATCACAATTATCTATATAATCGTATGTATCTAGGTTATAGAGTATTTATTCAGTCTATACTCACATCTTAAACATTACTATACAATTTTAAGGAATAGAAGAGAAGTCTCATAATATATGGATGAAAATATAAATGTTTAAAATCCTACTAGATGTTTTCCTGATCATTGCTGTTCTTTCTCTGGTACTCTCTGTAGTTTCTAGACAAATCAGATGATGTTCTCTTGAAGCACCAAGCCAGCATCAATGAGCTGAAGAGGGCCCTGAGGGAGCCCAACAGTAAACTGATGAACCGGGAAAAACGTCTGTCAGGGACGTCCCCAGGCGGCTCTCCAGAGAAGAAAGCAGTGAGTATGGAAATACTGCATTAGGACAGAATATTAATACATGTGCTGATACTTGGTTTAGTCTCTACTTTCTTGTTTGATTGCAGTCATCATGTATATGTGGATCATGCTGTATTGATTGTGTGCAATGTCAATTCCCTCAACTGACAAGGAAAATCCTTAGTGTCAGTTCAGTTGTTACACTTTTTGGAGCAATTTTGCATTGACTAGTCTAGTAAAGGTAAAAAGAGAAAGTATTATGTGGTGTGGGTGTAGTGTTTATTGCCAAACTAATTGTTGTTTGCTGATACAGATTTTTGTTTTACCAGATATAATGAATTTGACATGTATGCCATGTTGCTTTAACATTCTAATTTGTAATGTTTTATATTCAGTTCTCCACTATGTTGCATTTTGTTGTGCTATTGTATTTAATGGTTGCCCAAGTCATTATTGCTGCTGTGTTTTCATTATGCTGATTCCTGCTTTCATGTTTGTTTATATTCTGTGTTAAATCCCATTATTTATAATCATTTTACTTGTATTGCTATTTCTTTTTCATTATTTTCAACATCTTAAATTGCTCTTTAAATGTTCATAATATAAATTAATTTTTGTTTATCCTCTTTTTTTCTTTTTCTTGGAGCTGGCCATCTATCAGGAGGCTGTTGGTGCAGGGGTAGGGGATCCTGACAACAGCCTCTCGGTGGAGGGCTTCATCCAGAAGACATTTAAAATTCACTAATGGTTACTGGTTTGATGACAAGTTAAAGAACTAACAATTTTAATTTATATGATTAAATAGGGCTCTGAAGAACGGGTGTTGCTTGACTATGAAATGGAGGAGAAGGGAGAGTACAAAGCTAGTACACCTCCACCTTCTCTGGTCATTGATCCCCTTCGAAAGGAGGAGACAGAAAAACAACAGCAAATTACCAAGATGACACACATTGACCTAATTAGAGAGGACAGTGATGAAACACAATTGCACATGAAGACTTTTGCATCCTCAAAAATAACACTAATGGACAAGTCAGGTGAATCTAAGGAAAATATCATCACAGGGGAAGATGCCACAACTAAGATTAAATCTAAATTGTCTCATGAAATATCAAAAAAAGAGCCTACACCACTTGCTGAGTCTCAGCCTAACAGCAAGATTACCACTACAGACATCATGGCGGAGAGTTCTCAATGTAAAGTCAGAAGGGAAAAAATACCTCAAAGCTTAAACTTGGGGAAGTCAAGGGACTTCGTGTATGAGACAGAAGCCAAAGGTTCAAACATCACACACGATAGTGTAGAGTCTGATGAGGACAACAATACTGAACTTATAAAGGAGATTGTGATCTGTCATCCTGAAAATTTCAGCACAACAACAGACACATGGACATCATCCATGGCTGAAAAGCTAAATCAGCCAGCCACAAATACATATGCTGCAACACCGCTTAAAGAAAATAAAGAGTTTGACAGAGTAATGGGAAAAGACTTGCAGATTCCCAATCAGGGAGCAAGAAAGATGCATGAAAGTTTGCATGATTCAGGAAAGTCTGATGATGCAAGAAAATTTGTAGAATGTCAAGAGCAGCTATCCAACGAAGAGAAGATTATGAACACTGAAGGCAAACAAGAAAACCAAGATTCATTCAGTGGCCCTGGCAAAGATGAGCAGAAAAGTGTCAAGACTGATATCAGATTTGAAGTCATGAAAGTCATCATGATTGATAATAGCGAGAATGAAGCGAAATCTGGAAAAGCAAAGAAGAAAGAAACACTAGATTTGGGTCTTGAAAAGAAGATAAGCAATTTTGAACTGGAAGAATCTGCAGAAATCCAACTGGCCATACTGAAAAAAACTAGCCAGAGTGTTACTGGACATGTAAAAACAGATATAACAAGAATTGTTCCATTAAAACCTGAGAGAGTGAGGAGCCAAGGCTACAAAGATGACCTAGATATTGGACAAGACTCTGAACTAATGAAAATAAATTTTAAAAGATACAGTATGAATGAATCTTTTGTGAGACACTTTGACCCCTGTAAGTTCGAGAGCAGGGACACTAGGTATTTCCATGCAAACTGCACCACAAGTCTAGTGAAAGGAAATACAAGTCAGGAATTATCTTTAGCTGTCAAGGACATCTGTGTGTGCTCAGAGCATCAAGCGATAAAGAGTCTTGAGAGTTCACCAAAAGAAAGGGGTATATGGAATGAAGACACTACAAAACACACCAACAGAATAGTCCACAGAGATCTTCTGCATACTGATGAGAGAATTTCTGAACTTCACTTCTCCAGACAGACAGTTAACCAAAAAAATCCCCCTCCAACACCTCCAGTCAAAACAAAGAAAGCAAGAGAATCAGGTCTCTTTCTGCGCAATAGTCACATTTTCAGCAAAGACCCAACTCTTGAAGTCATCAAAAAGAACCTTCTGGTAATCAACATGACATTTAAAAAAAATTCAGTCACTGGACAAACAAGTATTGCATGAACTTAAGATTGATTCACACATTCATTGTTTTCCTTTTTATAATTGAAACTTACTTGTGTTTACTGTGTAAATCATACTGTTTGCTTGCCCATGAAGAGAGGGGTTAGAGAAGCCTATAATCTAACCATTAATGAGTAGTTTTCTGTTTAATATGCAGTCGACTACACAAAAAATATCTATTTATATTAAAACTATTTAATAAATAGGTTTATAATTGTCTGGTGGTTAAATGTTTTGGCCACTTCGATAGCCCATTTCTTCATAGTAAATTTTGTGAAATTACATAGTACCTTTGAACATTTTTGAAACACTAACAGCAACCAGCCTGAGTATTCAACCCTTAACAGAAGCTTTTTGGTGATTGTCACATTAAATAATGAATTCTGCATGATGAGCAAGGGCGTAGAATACTTCGAGAATACAGGGGACCTGTCCATCAGTTGCTGTGTGAATTATTTGATCTCTTTTAAAACTAGTTGGTTTATTTTTAAAACCCACTTGCTGATGTGAAGAACCCCTGCATGTTAAATGAGATTGTGACGTTTTTATCCTCTAAAATATAAGTCAAGAACCTCTCGGGTTACGCATGTAATTGTGGTTCCCCGAGAGGGAACAAGACACTGCGTCCCCTAGGGGACACTTTGGGGAATGCCCACAGCATGACCATTGGGCCACACACCCCATGACGTCATTAGCAGGGCACACGGAAGTATAAGTGGATGCTGATAATACACTTCATCAACTTCTTTGTCTGAAGGAGACATGACACAGGCAGGCACAAGGCATGTCTCGTTCCCTCTCGGGGAATCGTAGTTACATGCATAACACCAAAACGTTCCCCTTCATGAGAACTCCACACTGCGTCCACTAGGGGACATTTTGGGCTACGAAATACCAACCACACCATGCCCTGGTGCATGCCTGACCACCAAGAATAGTGGTAAACACACACCGGCGATGGGGGGAGGCCAATGAGAGAGAGGGCCGACACACAGCAAGCACTAAGCACTAATGGCACTTTTCCACTGAGTGGTACGACTCGGCTTGGTACGGCTCAGTACGGCACGGCACCGTTCGGCTCGGCACGGTTTGCGTTTCCACTGCAGTTCAGTACTGCTTTAGAGTGGGCGGGATTATTCACATGTCGTTATAGTTGCGCCGCCTCTACTACCACGACTCCTAAAAAAAAAAATTTATTTCGCGTCGCCCCATTAAGCTCTCGCTGGATCCGCTCATCTGCTATCAACGAGAGGAACGTCTGTACTTCCGCAACAGAAAACAAAACTTTTTGGTTCTTAAAAAAAAAGGTGTGCTCGTTCAAAACAGTTGCGTTCGATCCTTCGCTGGCTGTGCTGATTTAAATCTAGCGGTTCTTTTGTGTTTGTGTCGCAAGTTCAGTTATGCAGGTAGTGACGATTCTCTCCGGCTAATCCGTGATCAGCAGAGTTTACACGTCACATTTTGGTAACGGTACGGTTCACTTGGAACCCCAACCGAAGTGGTACTAAAAAAAAGTACCAGGTACCAGGTACTGTACCCAGTGGAAACACCCCCAAAAGTGAACCGTACCGAGCCGTACCGAGCCATACCATGCAGTGGAAAAGCACCATAAGGGGACTTAGAAACAGAGTGCCTGCTATCAGCGTGCCTCTTCTCTATCAACTTCGTGAGATCCCATTTACTCTCTTTAGCATCACACCTCCTGTGTGCTCTAATCCTGGAAGGGGGAGGAGCATGAGTGGCCACTCTAGATTTCTGGTCCTGTCTGCGATCCTCGGACTGAGACGGACCAGCCCCCTCAAAGGTTTTGGGAGATGATCTAGAACGATGAGGGATGTACCTCTTGAAGTCTGCAGACTGCACCCTCGCCTCTCTAAACTTTTCCACCAACGCCTCAACGGATGTGCCAAAAAGCCCAGAGGGTGAGAGTGGAGCATCAAGGAAAAGGTTCTTCTCCTTTCTCCCAATGTCCACTAGATTTAACCACAGATGGCACTCCGTAGCCACCATTGCGCCATCGTCCGGCCGATGGCAGCAGCGGTTTTCTTGGCAGCATGGAGATCGAGATCTGTGGTACAGCTCCTCCATAGCCTCAGGGTTTGTCCCCTTACCTTCATCTAGATCTTTCAGCAGGCCTGCCTGGTGGGCCTGACAACACAGCCATAGTGTGCAGAACCCCCGCGGCCTAACCTGCTGCCACATACGCTTCTGTTTCTCATGCCCCCAACCAACTCCAGTCTCTTAGTAGCACGGGCCATAACCTCCAATATCTCCCTGCATGTGGGGCTGGCGTGCTGAGATGACTCAGTGCTCACACTTTCCTCGTCATCACCAACTACATCCACGTCCTCGTCTGGATGACGCCAGCAGCTTACTAACTGCCAAACCGGACGACCATGTCCAGATCCTGCGGCTTTTGACAAAAGAAGCAGAAATATTTCTCGTTCTCCAAACCTTTCTCCAGTTTCTCCAAAAGCTCCACCTGCGATTGCCACGATTGGAGCTTCCGGCGTGCCTCAACAACATCGGGACCAGAGCTGCAAGGTGCAGATGTCTGTCTTGCATCCCTGGAGAATAATGACATGGGCGATCTGTCTGAGCTTTTTCATTGCAAATTTCTCGCAATGAACATATTCAATGCCCTCTAACACTGAACACGCATGCTCCTCTCCCAAACAGATAACTCATGCAAGTCCTCAGATGTCCCTAGGGGACGCAGTGTGGAGTTCTCTTGAAGGAGAATCACATTTTAAGAACTAGAGAATTTTATATTCACTTACAAATTGATTTAAATGCATGTGTGTGTGTTTAGGTTGCAATGCATGTCTTTCTTTCCTCGTGTGTTGCTTCAATAACACAGCTAACTTTAGACTGCTTGTCTTTCTTTCTTGTTCTGTTTTTCCTATGCAGGAGCCTCTGTCCACTGCTTCTACTCTTGAAGACCCACAATATGATGTTAAGGTGTCTCATTCCACACTGTTTCCATGTTCTTACATGTTTTTTAAAAAAATACTTAATTTTCTACTCAGGCTCTTTTAACACCAAAAATAACAATATTAAAAGCGTGCTTTCGAATACTTTTTAGGTGTTCCAAGTGACAGTTTAGTGTACTTGCTCAATCAGTGGTCAGGATGATTAGAAAATTAGAATGACTTCTGACAGTAGTTGTTGTTGTTTGTGTAACCGTTAAAAAGTCCCAATTCAAAATCATGCATGCAAATTTTCTTTGGTCAATTCATTTATTTTTTCTACAAACTAGACATTATATTTGGTATTTGGTAATATGGTAGCCTATTTTACTGTAATGAACATGCAATGGATTCTTATCGTGGGCATTTAAATACCATGAATAATTCTAGATGCCTTATTATCTTAATTGTTTACATTTATTTTAGAATGCTCATTAGCTTCTTTTCCATTAACTGGTTAAAAATATGTCAACAAAATTGCTGTCTGGCAGTAGATGGTACTTATAGAACAGCAAATATACAGCAGTTACCATTGTTACCTAAAGAAGCATTACAATTTTCTGTTTCTGACACCAGTTTGTGCTGCAAAAGACAGGAAGTTAAACAGTATGTAAATGTTTGCAAAAAGCTATTGTGTTATTGTATTTAAATGTTTATGGTTATTTTTTATTTGAAAAATTCATGAAACTTATTAAGGACACAATATTGAAGTTTTTAGTAACCATTTTTTAGCAGTGTACTTAAGTTCTGTGGTAATACAGCACTGGTTTATCGTGACACAATCTTCAGCAATTATCGCAATATAACAATTTTAAACTGACACATGCCTACTGCAAACTATATGATAATATTTGCCTGCTGTGAGAACAGAATGCATCAACATATATGATGTCTTTACTGGATCATTACACTGGATCATTTTACTGAAGGATGATCAACTGCTCAAAATCACACAAATGATTTCTTCATATCTCCATCATTACGGTTTGTTTCATTATGTGATGTAGAAAAACGCTACCCCTTTTTTTCCTCAACAGCAGCAATCTCACTCTGCCCTGGAGGACGACTATAATTGTGAGTTTACTGGCTTGAAGGACACCTACCTGGCCATCGAGAGGAAATGTTCAAGTATGACTGTCAGCTCCACTTCAAGCCTGGAAGCTGAGGTGGATTTCACTGTCATTATGGACTTACACAGTGATGTGGAGGAATTTTCTAGAGGCATGACTGAGCTGGTTGAGAAAGACAAATTAGAGCTGGGCAGGGAGAGTTTTGACAACACTCCCAGGTCTCACTCCACCTGTCACATGAATTTGCAAGATGTATCACCTGGAAGAGAACATCTCCTTGAAGGTCGTGGTCCCCAAGATATAGAACCTGTAAGGGCGAGTTCGTATTCCATAAACAGGTCAAGAGAGGAAGAGATCTACAGAATTGTGACATTCATTACATAGTTTAAACTACATTATCATATTGCAAATTGTTTTATGCCTTTTTTCTTTTACTGAATATCATTTATGTTTTGGTAACATATTTGAATTTGTTACTTTTAATTATTTTCATTCTATTTCATTGTGTTTATTATTATTTCATTTATAAGAAATTCCTAAATCAAAAAGTCATCCACAATGATTTAATTATAGCATTGTATTGGAGAAGATTTTCTGAAGTGAAGACTGCAACAGCAATAGAAAATCCACATTTGGATTTGAATTTAAGGCCTCTTGTAGTATAAGGGTGTTTTCACACCTAGTTTGTTTGAGCCCTGCAAACACTCTCAGAGCGGTTCAGCTCGAATATGTGAACAAACATGTGATCTCAGACTCCCCTAAAAGGACCCACAAGCAAACCGTACTCGTTTATTTTGTGGGTCCGTTTGTGATTTGATTTCCTCGTGATTTATGTAAGTAATGAGGTCCTGGTACGCTCTGTATTAACGAACATAACAGTATTATATCTTATCTTATTATATATTATCTGCTTGAGATTGAACTAAGCAGTTTATATATTTATATAAAGCAGTTTATGTATTTATATTTTATGTATACAGGTGCATCTCAATAAATTAGAATGTTGTGAAAAAGTTCATTTATTTCAGTAATTCAACTCGAATTGTGAAACTCGTGTATTAAATAAAGTCAATGCACACAGACTGAAGTAGTTTAAGTCTTTGGTTCTTTTAATTGTGATGATTTTGGCTAACATTTAACAAAAACCCACCAATTCACTATCTCAACAAATTAGAATATGGTGACATGCCAATCAGCTCATTTATTGATGTCATTTCAGACGTTTCAATCTCTTGTTAAACTAAATAAACTAATAAGTAAATAAATAAACTGACTGTTAACTTGAACAATACAAAATAATTCTGTTTTCATTTATGTAATCTATGGCTAACTGTGCATTAAATTATTTAATGCATGATGGAGGCAAATTACGTCTCGGGTTACGCATTTAACCATGGTTCCCCGAGAGGGAACGAGACGCTACGTCCCCCTCTAGGGGACACTTTGGGGAATGCTGCCAGCATGACCGGTGTCTGAAGCACTTGTAAAACAACACCAATCCTATTGGTCCACGTGGCCTGTGATGTCATAGGCGGTTACCCAAAAGTATAAAAGGGCACATGCTTAATACGTCACCAACTTAGTTGTCTAAGGAGGCTACCAGAAAGGGACCCTAAGAAGGGGAGCAATCACCAACCTATCAAACAGCTAGTCCCGCACAGCTAGCCTAAACCCTCCTATGAGGCTGCCCAGACCACAAAGAGTGGGCTATCTATTTACAACCCTAGCAGGGGAGACAGCACTATCTAAGTGAGGGCTCCAGGAGACCGGTACTTAAAGACCCTAAGAAGGGGAGCAGTCACTGAGCTAGCACATAGATATCCTCTGATAGCTATATGAGTAGGAAGGGCTACCAGAAGGGGGACGGACTGAAACTCCCCAAACCACAGAGAGTGGGCTGTCTACTTACAACCCAAAGAAGGGAGACAGCACTGTCTAGGTAAGGGCTCAAAACCCTAGGCAGAGAGCAATCACTGAGCTTGCACATGGCTATCCACAAATAGCTAGGCTGTAGGAAAGGGGACCACTGCAACTGCCAAGACCACCAGCAGTGGGCTGTCTAATTATAAACCCTTTAAGGGGAGACAGCACTATCTAGGCATGGCTCAAGGAGACTGCTACTTAAAAACCCTAGGCAGGGGAGTGATTACCGTGCTAGTACATAGTTATCCTCAGATAGCAATGTTTCCGGGAAAGGTGATGTGAAAACACAGCTAGCTTCAGATAGTAAGCCTGTCTTGCCATAACAATGGCTAAAATATAACCACCCTCAGATGGCTATGCTAAGGAGGTCCCCAATCAGTGTCAGTCCCACAGTAGGCTAGAGAGCACTGTTATATTGACCAGAGACTCACAAGAGGGAGGTCCAGACCATCAGCACATGATTCGCTAAAGAGTGAACGCATAAAAAAACCATTAGTCCAAGATCAAAGACTGATGCAAGCAACAGCCATAACACTAGCTGGCTGGACACAGTTATCCTCGAATAGCATTTCTCTCAGATAAGGCTGAAGTTTGCCCAGACCATGGAAGTGGGCCATCTACTTAAAACCCAAACAGTCTAGGCAAGGGCTCAAGGAGACCATTACTTAAAAAACAGAGGCACCACCCACTTAAAAATACCCAGAAGCCTGGGGAGGCAGCCCACACCTAAACCCATGGAAGGAGCATAGGAAGAAGCATTCCCCATAACCACTCTAGGTGATTAAACACCCTGGGAGAGAAAGCTCGCAAGCGTTTCTCCACGGACATTCAGTATATCCACGCCCAGCAAGGCTTTCTACACACAATAAAAAGCATATTAGAGAGGCACAGCTGAGCTGAATATAGCTCCGCCCGTGATCTCACAATCTCGTAAGCTTGGAGCTAAAAACGACTTGGTGCTCACACTAGAGGTCTTCTCGGGTTCTAAAATCTGTACCCGACCTGAATCGACCCAAATCACTTCTTGCCCGAACCCGACGTACATAAATTAATTTTTTTTTAAAAGAAAAACCCGACCCGAGACAGACCCGATGAAATTAGACCCGAGTCCAACCCGACCCGACTGCATTTATTTTCGAACCAGACTGGACCTGAACGTAAACAGCATTGACGTGTGCACAGCCTGCAGCCCTGCAGCCAGTCAGGAAAACCCCGGTGTCCTGCTGACTGATTTGGTCGCTTCTCCATTACTTTCATTTATTTAACATTTATTGAATTTTATTATTACGTATTTGTTATTAATTATTATATTATTGCCTGCCTGATGGATACAAGTTATTTCTGAGTTCGGCTTTCAGTTGTGACCAGTGGATTTGAAAAACAAACGTGAGAGTTTGATATAAAAATAAATCGATAGCTTTTCATGGCTAATCTAAAGCATAACTAATGATCATAGCATAATTCATGGCTTCGCTAGTGTTGTCTGGAACCAAATTTCCGCCGAAATGCTTCCGCACACAAAAAAGAAAAGCCCTGCATGAATACGCAGAGTAATGAAGCGAGTGGATTTTCCTAATGGAACTTATGTCTGTAAGATCGATTTCTGTTGGGGAGGTTAACATATGCTCCTTTTCTATGTGCGTTTCTCACTTAACGCGAACGTGCAAGTACACATTACACAAGTACACAGCGATAGTTTAAAAGAATTCAGGTCTTATCGGGTCCATTTGAAAAAAAGCACATTTATTTTAAATTACCTGAGACCCGAGGTCGTTAATACCAAACCCGACCCGTGTCCGAGGCACTCGTAGAAATTTTGGACACGAATCCGCTCGGGTCGGACCTCGGGTTTTCGGATCCAAGTGGACCCGTGAAGACCTCTAGCAACGCAGTAAAAGCATTATCCATTATGATTTTTAAAGGGTATGCGGACACCACAGATCAAAGCAATTGCCGCGAGCTGAGATAAACCATGCTGCGGCTACTGCCCAAGAAACAAACGCTTTGCCACACATCCCTCGGGAATAGGAACAAGAGCGAGTGGAGCATTATCACAATGAGCGTGTAGTCGCCGAGACAAAAACTCAAAAGTTAGAATATGCCCTCAAGGGCTGGAGTCTGGGTTCTTATGAAGTTGTGGTGTGAACAATAAAGAGTCTGAAATCAGGTGCTGGAGTGATCCAAGAAAAGAACGGGTTCTCTTTTGAGTCCACTATATTGTGAACACCAAAAGGAATGAGGTCACTTTTGGCTGGTTCCCTTTCTGGTTCATTTTAAGTGAACTGGGTTTGGTTCCTTTAAAACTAACTATATGTGAAAGCACCCTTAATGTGAAATGTACTGATTATGCAAAATAAATTAATAATAATACTACTACTACTACTACTAATAATAATAATAATAACTCATTAATTTAGCAAAAAGCTAAATTACCAGACTCATCATTGTGGAAAAAACTAAAATTATAAATAAAATGAATGAGAAATAGTTTCCTCTTGACAAAAATTGCTATATTTTTCAAATGGAAAATATTTCATTTGATTTAATTTATAAATGTATTAAATAGCTAATAATAATTAAACATTTTGTATTGGACATCCTCTGTTTTACTGTGAACTAAAAATATTTTGCATACCAAGCACTTTTTTTTTCATCATCTGAAACATGTCATTAGTGTCATTATTGATCACATACACATCATACATATGTGTAGATCATGGCCTTTATATCTGTTAATCTAATTTTACCTTCAAACAAAACAGATTTTACTTAATCCATTTGGGAGTCACACTTGTGATCTTCATGGTCAAAAGTGACCGGACACCTAAAGCCTAAACCCCCCCCCCCCCCCCCCAGTAAAATATATTAACATATTTTTTTCTGTAATATTTTTGCTTTTGTGATTTTATGGTACTAATTAATATTTATGCAATAATTATAATCAATTTCTTCTTATTGGAAATATTTTTTTTTTATATATATATTTTTATATTACTTTTCAATTAATGCAGTATTTCATGTTAAAATAGAGTCAATGCCTTTAAAATCCATTTTTTTAAACCAGATTAGTGCCATCTGGTGAGAATAAAATAAGAAAATCATCTGCAATACCATGGTTTAGCCCATGGATTCTTATATAGCTGTATATAAAAGGCCTATAAATTCTCTAATTGTTTTTAGACATAAATACTTATTTTTGTTAAGTTCTGGATTTAGATATATATTTAGACATTCTCAAAGACAACTTGTACAACCTGTAAAGGTTTAGATTTTTAGTTTGTTTGAAATGTTGATTTTAAGCATCAGTTTTTGAATTATTATTACTACAGTCAAACCTGAACACAGAAAGCATTTTGTTACACAAAACATTACAATTCTATAAAAATGTAACAAAAATTAACAGGAATGTTTTATTAGAGCTTAATTCTTAGGGTCTGGTCTGATTTCAGTTTTCTGACTCGTTTTGGCTATATGGTTATAGCCATACCAGTTCCTTTAAGTGTGCATAATTGTGTGTGTGTGTGTGTGTGTGTGTGTGTGTGTGTTTTGCACTCTTGATGTTTTAAATTGTAACCCCTTCCTTGCTATCCACTTTTTTAGTGCATTGTAGTTAAAATATTGCTTTTATTTAACATATTTGCTGTGTTACAGTCACACCAATTCATAGGTGTGTGTGTACTAGGGGTGTAACAGTACGCAGATGTCACGGTTTGGTACGTACCTCGGTTCAGGGGTCACGGTTCAATGCGATTTCAGTACAACAGGGAAAAAACGACAAATCTACGATGCTAGGTTTCTTTTCATTTATTTTGATGAGACAGTAGTACAAATTACAAATTTTCCACCTAGATGTGAAAATACTAAATGGTATATTAAATTACAATGTTTTATATATAAAATCTGCAGTACATATATACATTCAAGGAATACATACTTGAAATATATTTGATTTAGTTAACAAATACACAAGGGAAAAAACAGTGCGACACGTAACGTAGCCTATATATGCTGAGTGTGACACGCTTAATTTGTTCACAGAAAGGAAACTCAAATGGCAGAAAGTGACACCTATTTGTTTTCTTTATTTTACAAAAGCACAATGTTTTGTTTTCATTGTGAGTGGACACAAATCAAAGTAGACCTTTTACAGTGATGTATTATTAATAAGACAATAAATGACGGATTGTTTTAAGTTGATTCTGCTGGTATAAGGAAACAGTTGAAGTGATCGCGCCGACGCACACACACACACAGAACATATCAGTTCCAGCATTGCTGCTGTAATTTCACAGCGCAGTTGGTACTTTATCTAAATAAAATACAGTGAACCAAACATCAGCGCGCCTGCCTCTGTTTCACCATTGGAACATGACTGAAGTACAAAGCCTATAATTTACACAATAAATAATAGTTTAGCATTCTGATACACCGCACATATGGAAATATTATGGAATATTTGGATTTGTCCCGAATGAGAGAGGTAAATAAAAAAACATGATCACAAAGCTCCATTTCTCAAACAGTTGAGTACGCAAGCCTTTTAGAGTATACTCCTTTGTCAGTGGCTATGTTTACATGCAACCAAATAATCTGTTTGTAATCGGATTGACGGCTCAATCGGACTGAAAAGCCTTCATGTAAACCTTAATCGATCCGATTGAAGTCGATAAGAATGAAATTTCGATCAGATTGAAGGGGGTGGTTTATTCCTTTTCTAATACGATTGAGAGTGCATGTAAACGCTCGATTGGATTGATCCCCGAAACTGAAAGGACTGCGCATGTACAATGACGCAGAAATAGCATAATGGCGTATGACGCGTGGAACAAACTGCTCTTCCTTTTGAATAAAGTGTTATAAATGCGTGTCCTGTCATTATAAAACTCTCCTTTCACTCGGCAACTGTGAAGTGGAGCAGGACAACCTCCCACCAGTCCTTGTTTTGGATTCTCATCCACAGACAACCCATTACTGTGTGATAAATATGAGCAGCACAGCACAGCGTTTATATGTACAGTTATAAATTATCCATAAATGGATTTTCATATATATTTCATATATTATGATCCATAATATGGATAAATATTAATTCTGCGGTTAAAAACACATAAAGAAACCGTGTAGGAGAGTGGTTATGTGCAAACAGTGAGAAACTATATTTGTGCAGTGTGCGCATGTAAAAAAATTTGAAGCTTGTGACATATAAACTCGCACATCAACCCGATCACTTTATTTAGCATTCATGTAAACACAACATTCAGATTCATCAATCGGAATGAATTCAGTCCGTTTGAACCAAAAATTGTGCATGTAAATGTAGCCAGTTAGAGACGCATTCTGAATCAGCACATGGTCACTGTCTAGTGGGCTTTGTTTTCAAGTGCGCAACTCATGGCAGTCGCTGTTCTTCTGCTGGCGATTACAAACAGCGTTGCATTACAGGGTGCCCCCTTCTGGAGTGAGGGTGAATTGCCTGTATTCGTTGTAAGGCCTCATGCACCGAACCAAGATGTCTGTACCGTGACGGTTCGGTACGAAAACATGTATCATTACACCCCTAGTGTGTACGCGTGTGTGTGTGAGTGAATGTGTTGGTTTTGCACTCTTGATGTTTTAGAGTTTCACCCCGTCATTGCTGTGTACTTTTTTTCTGAATTGAGGCAGATTTGTGGATTGTAATTCTCAGAATTTTTTTTTTTGTCGATTTCCAATTAATTTCTTATGGTCGGTCATTTTTGACCAAAGACCACAAGTGTGACTATTTTTTTATGACCACTTAGCCTGCTCAAATCATTCCCTCAATTTTTTTGCTTGTTCACATTCCAAATGCCATAAAAGTCACCAAGTTTCATACCATTCTGATGAAGCTGTGATTTTTATAAATTCAAAACAGAAAATTTTTCGGTCAAAAGTGACCAAAGAGCACCAGTATTACTATTTGTAATATTACTGTTTGCGATAGTACTGTTTGGATTATGTGATATCAAGTACTCAACAGACATATTGTATACCCCACATACTAATGTAACTATTTTTACCTTTTTTATTCATCAGCCCTCTGTTGCCAAGAAAGACCCCAGTGCAGTGAATGCAGCCCAGATGCTGAGAAAAGGAGCAGTTCAAATGGAACTGCATTCTAATGGCTCTGAGGCTCCTGTCAAAGACATCTCTGATCATGTAAGAATATAACTATAATATCATTCCTACGTATTCACACTGAAAATTGTGGGTTTTCTTTGCTCCAGTTGCTGAATTTCATTTTTAAAAATTCATAAAAGTTACTTTAAATACAAACCTAAAATAGTTATTCAATTCTAATTCAAGACTGTAAGAGGTGCGGAAAAAGTTTCCTTTTTAACTAATTTTAAGTTTGACCAAGGTGGTCTTGCTGGGTTGAGTGTGAGTAGACCAGTTGTCAGTATGCAAACAGTGTTGTGGGTAACCTAGGTAACCTAGTTCTGTGAATGAAGTCAACACACCACAGTATGGGTCACTCTTGCTAAGGATGAGCTCTCAGGAGACAGTATATCAAATTAACCATGCCCCGCCTGCAATCAGTCTATAAATACAGGTGCGAAGTAGCCAGCGCTTTTTTTGCCGACTAGTGACAAGTGCTCCCTGAGTGACCACGTCTTCAGTGTTGACTTCATTCACAGAACTAGGTTACCTAGTATGGGCTACTGTGTACCAGATAAGGTCAGGAGGGGAGATAAAACCCAAGTGGGGCAATAAAACTCAAGGAAACAAATTCATGCCAACAGAACATTTTATTAGTTTTCCCTGTTATTTACACAGTTAAATCAGCGGGTTTTTAGCACCTTGATATTGTCTACATAAGGCAGATCACGTCTGCTCTGCTGTTTGTTGTAGCAACATCCAGATGATAGAATTTGGCAAATGTCACAGATGATGACCAACCAGCTGCTGCACACACATTCTCCAGAGAAGCACCTTTAAACAATGCCCAGGAGGCAGCCACTTCTCTTGTATAGTGTGCCACCACTCCCTTAGGAAGCATCCCTGCATTGTGATAGGCTAGATCTATCAGCCTGACCACCCATTGGGCTCTGCTTGGACACTGCCTGGCCTTGCACAGAGTACCCATAACAGACAAACAGCTAATCGGTATGCCTTACCATTTGTGTGCGAGAAATTTATCTTCTCAGTGCCCTGACTGGGCAGATTAGATGCAGTCTGGATGCTTCTGTTGAATTGTGAGGAGGTGGATGGAAGGGTTCTATCACCAAAGGCCTGGAAATAAAGGAACGGGGCAGAACATTTGGCAGAAAGGTAGAAAGGCAAATTAACCAATCGTGCAGGTAATTGGCAATACGTGCAATATGTATGCCCTGGTGACGAAGAGGAATGAGTGCGGCATCCATACATTTGGTGAAGGTGCGGGGAGCCAATGACAGACCGACGGGGAGAACATTATACTCATAAGCATTGCCCTGAAAGTAGAACCTGAGGTACTTCCTGTGGTCCTCATGAATTGGGATGTGGAAATAAGCATCTTGGAGATCCACTGTTGTGAACCAATACCCTTGTCTGATGAAGGTTAAAAGGGTTGAACGACAAAGCATACGGAATGGCATTCGCTTTAAATGATGATTTAAATTCCTGAGATTCAGGATGGGCAGAAGACCCCCCATCTTTCTTTGGAATCAAGAAATAGGTTGAATAAAACCCCTGCCCTATTGATCCCGAGGGCAGGCATGTTATTGCTCTTTTTCCTAAAAGAACTGAGACTACGTCTTTCAGAGACCTGCACTTTGTCTCTTCTCTCAAAACAGTAGGAACAATTCCTTAAAATTTGGGTGGCTTGGATTTGAATTGGAGCCTGTATCCAAACTCCAAGGTGCTCAGCACCCATGTACATTGAGTACATTGGTGCCAGTGGAAGAAGAAAAAGTGAGGCCGGAGGTTTATAACCATCAGTGACGGTTTCTTCCACCTGCTGCACGTGTGCTGGAAGACTCTGCCTGCCATGTCCTACGAAAGGACTGCTGGACTCCTTGGCTTGGTCTTATGGGTGCCCCTTGGGCAGCAGACCGGCACTGACCTACGAAGACCTGGCTTGACAATTCTGCCCGGGCCCAATTGCTGCTCCCAGCTGATGTGCGTAGCCCACAAGTAGCTGGTGCTCGACCCACTGATTAAGTCAGTTCTCTTGTCCTACGAGATTGCTCCAAGGCTGCTTCTGCAGATGGTCCAAAGACTTCCCCATGCACTAATGGAGCTGCAATGACTGCCATGCAGTCTTGATCTAACAGATTAGCTTGAGATAGCCATACCTGATTGCGTGCTTGAACCAAATTGGCCATGGATAGCCCCAGGGCTTGAGTATGCGCACTTGTTCCTTGGATCAGCATATCAATCAAACGCAATGTCTCTGGGATGTTTTCCTCATCTGTCAAAGAGGAGAACAAATCCTGGAGCAGACCCTCTAAATAAACCAAGAGGAGAGAGTTTGTCTTGCCGACAAGGCAGAGGCATGAAAGGCTTCCCTCAGCTGACTGTCGATTATCCTACCATGCTTTTTAGGGTGTGAAGCATCTCTTCCAGTCCTGACCATAGCCCCCATCAGCATAGCAAGTGTGGGTCCGATCTGAGGAGCTGTAGAAAGCCCATTAGCTGCTGCCCCTGCCAAGTTGCCCGGCTGTGTCCTAGGGAGTGCTATAGAACTAGGGGCCTTCCATGAAGACTGCAACTCTAAAATCAGGAAGTATTGGCAACCCCTCTGTTTTTCGACGCTGAGGGCCTCTATCAAACACTGAGGATGATGTTGAAGCAGCTTGGGAAGGCAGTTTTGCATGCTCAGCTGCTCTGGAAATCACTGCTTTGTCTGAAGGGTCCAGTGCAATAGCCTCTGAAGTCTCTGACGCACTATACCTCGTTTATGACTCAGAGATGTCATCTGGTTATGAAGGCACAGAATTTTTATCCCTTCCAAACACTCCAGACGCTGCCAATGAAAGCTCATCAGGGTGACAGCATGGCCGTTTTGTCAATGGAAACATGCTGACTGAGATTAAATAGAACATAATATTTTTAATACATAAAATTTTACTATTTAACAAAATTTGTTTAGTTATGTTATTAAAAAATTCAAACTGGTAGAATGTGAATCAGTTTATTCAAGGGACAAAATTTAAAAAGAAACATCTGTGGTATGTTACTGTTTTTGTCTTATCTTGTGTCTCATAAAGTTTAATCTTTCTAGAATATAACTGAAAATAAATGGCATATGCCTTCCTGAACAACTGGGTTAAAGGTCTCAGGACTCATGTCCTCAATGTCATGTGTCTTTCTCTCTTGTCCTTTATAAAGCTCCCCTTTCTTTCTTTCTTTCTCTGTCTCTCTACCTTTGTGTCTACTGCAGTACAATATAGTCAAACTCTAACAATGCTCTCCCAAATATTTTACAGTTATGTCTTGTCATTTCCTTTACAGGTGTAAGTAGCAGTGGGTGGTAATATACAAGAAATGCTGATACTGTTTCTTTAGTCATTCAGCAAATCTAAAAGCTGGTTCTTTTATGTTTACCTTTATCAGTCATACATGGGAAAAAAAATAGTATTTCACTGCATGCTGCTATGGTGCTGTTTGCTCAGGTTTTATTGCTCTTAACTGTATTGCCTTGGCACTTCTTGATTATTTTCTCATGTTTTTTGCAGAAACTGGAAGAGAGCACAGTTAAGGAGGCAAAAGAGAATGAGTCCCCTGTGAGTCTGGTCATATAATCACTTCCCAATAAATAGTTGTGGACCAATATGTTTTTTTTTTTGTCATGTCTGATTCTGATCTATAGAGGTGGCTAATACAGTACAGATACAATGCAGATATTATGTTCACATAATACAGTTTAATTGATATTTAAATTATATGAAACAATTTATTGTTTTCATTTCTTTCTATTTGTTTATTCATTTATTATTTTTGACAAGACTGTTGGTAGATTTTAGAATTGACAAAAGGGTTCCTTTTATGTTTATGGATATGGTTATCATTAATCTTGCCCATGTTTAGACACACTGTACCCCATAACGACAAAGAAAACTGTGGTAACTGCGAATTCATTATGAAAAGTAAAAACTAAAATATTACATTCACTTAAATATTCAGACCCTTAACTCAGTACTTAGCTAAAGCATATTCGCTTTATTTGCTTAATTACAAACTCAAGTTTTTTGGCTATGATGTGACACCTAGCCAAATTTTCTGCCATTCTTCTCTACACATCCTCTGTCTGTGATCCTCTGTCCTCTGTACAGAAGCTCTATTAGGTTAGGTGGAGACAATCTGTAGACAGCCACTGCTTTTTAGCTAATTCAGTCTTTGATGCATTTTGCACTGAGGAAAGTCTTCAGTCGGGCCATTTTTCCATAAAGCCCAGAATGGTGGATTTTTTTATTATTACTATTTTTTTATTATTATTATTTATGTAGCTCCATAAAAATAAAATATGTGCTGTCCAAGGTGCTTTATAGTAGTACAATTAAAAAGATGTACAAACAAGTATAAAAATAATGTGGATTCGAAATTCACATAGCATCACACAGTACATAACATTTAACCCATAAAAGAACTGTACCACAAAATAAATAAATTAAAAGGCAGGAAAAATAAATAAGTTTTAATTTTAGACTAAAAAATAGATTGTGGGGCTGATCTAAGTAGTGGTAGACTATTCCAGAGATTAGGATCAGCTGCCTCAAACACTCTACCCCTATGTTTAAATCTGGTTCTTGGCACCTTTAGTAGAATTTGATTACTGGATCTAAGTGATCTAGGTGGCAAATGAATTGAAGGAGGTAGAAGAGATATACACGGTTTCATCGGGTGTATGCACTTTGCCCAACGTTAACTTCTGGTCTGTGTTTTTTTATCGGTTAAAGTTAAAGTGATGAGTAGACTGAAGTTGGGATCAGGTTGTTGTGCTGTGGGATGTGTTTCCCATACATTTATTTATTTGTGGCAGCCACAATATCAAAACTGACTGCCAAAAATAGATTTTCCAAAAGGCGTTGACTTTGTTGAATAAACATGAGCACTGTATGTTTCAAAATCAAAACGTGGCGTGGGTGTTTTGGTATCACTGTCTGTGAAGGAAACTGACTGTCTTCAGGAAATTTTCGATGTCATTTTCATTTCATCTTGCCTGTAATGCCTGATAAAGCAGCGTTTGTGAGCGGAGCGCTGCTTAGTGTACAGCCGTTACTGGGGAAACCTCTATTTCTGCCACTCCAAAAGCACCTCCTGCTGGCAGAGAATTAATTTGCAATTTCAGTAAACATACACTTGGTTGTTTTGACCCAGCTATTGGGTTGTTTTGACCCAGCTGTGGGGTTCCAACCCAACCGCTGAGTCAAAACAAACCCAATAGCTGGGTTTATATTTAACCCAGCATTTTTAGAGTGTATTTTGCTTGTTATCAGAAATAATCTTCTCTGGAGGGATTTTGCTGTTGTTATTGTTGTTATGTACTTTGCGGAAATCTACCGGAAGTTAAGTTTGGGCACAAAAGCTTGCATGTGCAGTAACGTTTGTTGATGTTGCCGTTGAAACCATCTATAAGCGAGCAAGGCTAAAAATAGATTTATAAACTAAAATGTGTACTTAATCAAATACAATAATCCCAGTATTCAAGTCATTTAGATGCAGGAAATTCGGCGACATCCAATTCATTAGATCTTTAAAACAGGCTGTCATTGTCTTGAGTATTTTTTAATGGCAAGTCGTTTTAGGTGTCATCTGCATAACAATTGAATGATACTCTGTGTTTTCTGAAAATATCACCGATTGGAAGCATAGAAAGAGAGAAAAAATGGGACAGAGAATGGAGATTTTTGGGACTCCACAGGTAAGACTAGCCAAGAACAATTTGCAATTTGCAATATTGACTGTACAACATCTTTTGGTCAAATAAGACATAAACCATTTAAGGACATTACCCCACAGGCCCTAAAAATAAATAAGAATGGAATGATTGACTGTATCAAAGGCTGCCGTTACGTCCAGAAGAATTAGGACCAGGGCTTGTCATTAACACCTGCCAAATGTGTTGATTTCAGACGGACATGTAACACAGTCACTCCCACTAGCTACTTTAGCAGGTTACATTTTATATCCAGTAACTTAGATAGACATTATTGCTTACCCAGGACAAGTGGAATTTTTGAAGGGGAAACTAACCTGATTAAAACAACTAACTAGTGTAGTGATATCAGATGTTAGATAGCTTCACAAGGGGCACCACTAAATATAGTGATTTTAGATTTAAGTAGCACCACCAGTGTAATGGCTTTGGGCTTAAATATTAATACTTAATTTTGGTCATACTATTTTACAGGGCACCAGCCAAGGAATTCTGCCTTTGACAATAAAGAACAACCATGGAAGATTGTTGAATAAATAAGAATTACATTTAAACTATAGGAAGTTGTAGTCTGACCAATCTGAAGTATTTGTGAGATATCGTTAACTTGTAGAGACTTTTTACTGTATTATCAGCACAAGGAAGACACAAGTGTAATAAAATGTTTTTTATTAACAAAGGGATAGACAAGAGTAACTAACAATTACTAAATGGATACAATGAATGGATAAAGTGCAAAGATTGATAAATGCAAGTGACTGAGTTGGATTTTACTATGGACATTATCTTATGGAAAGATAAACTGAAGTTTCCTGGAAGTAATGAGGTAAACTTTATTCTAGGTTCAACAAATAAATCAAGATATTATTTGTTATTAACTGACATCAGTTATATGGAATCTAATGCAAATTAGATCATCATAAACTGACAATACACTAATGCCAATGGTCTCTGGAAAGAGGTTTGGAAAGGGTGATATTTATGCTCCATGTATGAGTGGCGAAATCTCATGGAGAAATCAAAACAAATGAACACAACTGCACACAGAAGAAACATACTCTGGTAAAAATTAAGTTTTTATACTTATATGATACAGCCTAGTTAAATGACATGACACGACCAAGAGAATGTGTTTCTCACTGAAAACCGGTATGAAATTTGATGTTAATTTTCATATAAGAGTTCATACAGTATAGAAGTAGTTAATAATGAGTGACTGGTATTTCAAACAGTCAATCATCTTTGCTCAATTTGATTAACCCGAAAATAGTTCCAAACAAAGAAAAAAACAAAACAGTCACACATCTCTGAGCAACACAATGAGGTTTTTCTTTTAATTCATTATTTAGCAATTAGAATGAATTGGGTGAGTCAATGACTACGTTTACATGTGCACGAATAATGCGATTATTTCCAATAATCAGAGTAAGGACTTGATCGCATTATGATGTTTACATGTCAAGAGCAAAGCTCTTCACTCCCGTTTACATTCAATTTCCATTATTCTTATTATTCGCTTAGAATTGTGGTTAATTTTTTACTGCCATTATTCAAATTACCCCACTGCACAAATGATGGACTCAGAAAAAGCAGGTGTGTTACTTGCCGCTTATTTACGTCTAATGCAAAACACTTTTGCATATTCCATGCTTTTTGGCGCCATAGAAATGTGATGGCAATTCGTTTGCCTACACTGCCGTCGTGCTCTACTCGCCGTTTCTGGATGAGGGTAAGAGACTAGTGGCAACGAGTTGTGCTTTCCCCAGAAATGCGATCCTTTCTTCCCCGCCATCGTTTCTAACAATATGCGTATTATTACTGGTGCATGTCACATCATTCATGTATGTCACAAGCACATGCGCACTTTGGTCATAGTGGCAATACTGCGATTAAGGTGTTTACATGCCTGTATATTTCGATTAAAATCAGCGTACGTGTACCCACCTATGTTAATACGATTATGCTTGCTGCGATTAGGAGCTTAATCACATTATTTAGATCTAAGTATTGCATTTACATGAGATAAAGTTTAATCACAGTATTGTCAAAATTGCATTATAAAGCAAGGCAAGGCAAGTTTATTTATATAGCACATTTCGTACACAATGGTAATTCAAAGTGTTTTACATAAAAGAAAGTAAAGTAATCATAAAAAAAATAATCCCAAGAATAAAACAAGGAATTTAAAAACTTTGACAATTATTTAAAAATTGATTTAAAATGAATTTAAGACAGTTAAAAATAGAAAATGATTATACATGCATAAAACACAGTGCAATCAGTTTGGACATCGCACAGTGCTCATTCAATAAATGCACCGCTAAACAGATGAGTTTTGAGTCTAGATTTAAATGTGACTAAAGTTTTAGCACATCTGGTTCCTTCTGGAAGCTGATTCCGACTGCAAAATAGCTAAAAGCAGATTCCCCTTCTTCTGACTCGATCCTAATGATCTGAGTGATCTGTTAGGTTTATATTCAGTGAGCATATCTACAATGTATTTAGGTCCTAGGCCATTGAGTGATTTATAAATGAGTAAAAGTACTTTAAAATCAATCCTAAATGTAACTGGAAGCCAATGTAAGGAACTGAGGACTGGTGTGATATGCTCAGATTTTCTGGTTCTAGTCAGAATCCTGGCAGCAGCGTTCTGGATGAGCTGCAGCTGTCTAATGGTCTTCTTGGGAAGGCCGGTGAGAAGACCATTACAATAGTCCACCCTGCCGGTGATAAAGGCATGAACAAGTTTCTCCAAGTCTTGAAACAAAACATCTCATTCTTGCAATGTTTTTTAGATGATAGTATGCTGATTTAGTTACTGCTTTGACATGACTACTGAAACTAAGG